GTCGTGTAGAATGCAGGTACTTTACAATGTTATATTTGACTCGTGTGAAAAGTGTACGGTAATGCAATCACGCAAATTAGTCATGCTTCCAAGTGCCGACGCTTGACCGCACCACGATGCAAGGGGGACTGACTCACTTTCTAGATCGGTACTCATTTTAGTTGACCAAAGCTGTAGGAAGCTATCCCAACCACGCGGGCATGAGGGCGATGAACACGTGCGCACGAGAATTGAGACGTATCCGTCCGCAATAGGAGACCGGCCTCGCTTCTACAAAGTGGGAAGACGTGGGAAGGAGAATACTGCGTGGCCTGCGTAGTGCAGCTGTGTGTAGAGGAGGACGCCCGATGGATGACGAGTGGGCAAAAAACGCGCGTTTTGGATGATCCGCGGTGGTCTGGCCGGACCGCGGCTTGCCGATGACGAAACGATGAAATAAAGGACGAATTGAGTCACACCAATGGCAGTAATTGCGCGCAGTTGCAAAGGCGCGCGGTGTGTTTTGTCGTGAAGTGCAGCGTGAGTGGCAAGAGCCTCATCATCCGCACGCACGCGCACGTGGGTGCCATGCGCGTTCTCTGTACGGGGAGCGGTGGCGCAGTGGTTAGCGCGCTGCGCTACGAACCCGGTTCTACCACCCCCCCCCCACCACCCCGAGTTCGATTCCCACTCACGGCCACCGCCAACATTTACTGACGAGTATGAGTCTCTCTGAACCCAGATCTGGGTCTCTCCTAGGTCGAGTCGGCCTTAAATCGAGTACTTTGTGCGATGTGCAAATATGGGTGAAGTATGGTGCGGAAGAAGTTCGACATACATGCAAACTAAAATCGTCACTTAGGGAGACAAAGGCGGCCGGGCGTGGTGATGCTGGCCACCCCCCACCCGCGCTTCTTCCTCCTGCTATGAGGAAGTCTCTGGGAGCTATGCACTTATAAAATCATCCAGATTGACAAACTAATGTCTGTAAAACTGCTTTTTCGTTTTTAGTTTATTTGTCCTTCACCCCAACACCTCCGTTCATCACGGTTGGCGACGTGCGGTGCGAAAGAAGTTCGACAAAGTACATCCATCGGGGGCCACGGTGGCTAGGAGATGTTAACGACCTCGCCAGGTATACAGGAGGAGGTCGTGGGTTCCATTCAGACCCTGACGCCTGCTGCTGCTGCTGTATATTTGGAGTTTGCAGTGTCCCTCTCTCTCTCTCTCCACGTGGTCGCGTGGATTCTTTCTCCGGGTCCCCCGGTTTTTTTTTTCCACTCCACATTTAGAATCATCAACACGCGTTTAGAGAATTTGGCTGCTAAAAATGTCCACGTGATTAACAAGCCTACTTCGTTGAGCAGCAATCAATTTGTGATAGACGGGTCACTTCTGAATAAAAGAGTTACATACTAAAGTATTAAAGCTTTCGTGACTGCATAACATTACTCATTGGTTTTTTCGGTAAAGTCACGTATGTAGAAATGCAATAAAATTATATTAAAACAAAAAAAACAATCACGACGTTTCGATCACAACGCAAGCGATCTTCATCAGGTGTCAAGAACAAATCACGGAGGTAAATACAACAAAAAGATGAGAGACGAGAATTCAACAAACCTGAAAGAACATTATGTGAAGCACATCCAGTCAGGCCAACAACATAGTTAGACACTTCCTGGCGGACCACGAATTTCAGAAGAGTGTTAAATTTCGTGTTCAACCTTTGGATTGCACATACCAGCATAGATAGAATAGAATACAAGTCCACCAAGAGGTAAGGAGGGAGGAAAGATGGACAGGGAGGCAGAGAGAGAGAGAGGGGGCAGCTCAAAAAAGGACCACCTCTTGTAAATACAAAACGGCAGCTCAAAACAGGACCACCTCTTGTTACATAGCTCAGTGGGCTTTACCTGCTAAAATATAAAAAAAGACAGTTCTATAAAGCGGTAGTTGCGTTCGCGAAGAACACCGCGTTTTGGCAAAATTTTGCGTTACAATAAACAATATATAATGCAGGGTAAAAGCTACATTCCGAGACAGCACGTGAGATGCGTACGCAGGCTGAACAAAGACCGAGGCACGTCGTAAAATGTTGTTTTATATGTGAATAAATACATTGAGGGTTTGATGAAACAAAGTAGTGGCACCTACGTGTCCGTGCTTAATTTGTGTTTCGATGATTTACCGTCTTAAAACAAAAAAATCTGTCCATGTCTCGCACCCCCAGAAAGGGTGCATGTGGGACCCCCAAGGGGATGCGTGAACCAGCAGGTTAAGAGCCACCGATCTAGAAGTATCCAGCAGTATCCCCAACGCCCTGTGTGACGATGCTACGCCGGCGGGCAGCCGTTACAGTCGCTAATTTCCCCTAAGAAACATTAATCGCGAGATATCCACAATTCGCGTTACGAAAGAGAACAGACCGTCAATATTCTTTGGGTCTTTCGGTAAAGTTACGTGGATAGGTTCAAAGAAAATAATAATAATTTTAAAAACTACGATCGCAACACAAGTGGTCATCGTGATGACGACCGCTTGCTTGTGTTGCGATCGAAACGTCGTCGGTTTTTATAGATCCTAAAGTTTCGCGAATGCAGTAATTGCTCTTTGGTTCTTTCGCTAAAGCCACGTAGAAAGAAATTAAATTGAATAATAACAATAGAATACGACGTTTCGATTGCAACACAAGCAACCATCATCAGGTACAAATGAATGAGAAAACAGACATAGCCAACTTGGAAATATAATGAAATGCAACAGAGAGTCGGCCAACAAAACAGTCAGTTTCTGTGTGTCTATGTGTGTGTCTCTCTCTGTGAGTTTCTCTCTGCTTGTGTGTTTGTCTGTGTGTCTATGTGTGTGTCTCTCTCTGTGTGTCTCTGTGTGAGTTTCTCTCTGCTTGTGTCTCTGTGTGTCTATGGTGTGTGTCTATGTTGTGTCTCTTTCTGTTTGTGTCTCTGTATGAGTCTCTCTCTGCTTGTGTGTCTGTCTGTGTGTCTATGTGTGTGTCTCTCTCTGTGTGTCTCTGTGTGAGTCTCTCTGCTTGCGTGTCTGTCTGTGTGTCTATGTTGTGTGTCTCTTTCTGTTTGTCTCTGTGTGTCTCTCTCTGCTTGTGTGTCTGTCTGTGTGTCTATGTGTGTGTCTCTCTCTGCTTGTGTGTATGTCTGTGTGTCTATGTTGTGTGTCTCTCTCTGTTTGTCTCTGTGTGTCTCTCTCTGCTTGTGTGTCTGTCTGTGTGTCTATGTGTGTCTCTCTCTGTGTGTGTCTCTGTGTTGTCTCTCTCTGCTTGTGTGTATGTCTGTGTGTCTATGTTGTGTGTCTCTCTCTGTTTGTCTCTGTGTGTCTCTCTCTGCTTGTGTGTCTGTCTGTGTGTCTATGTTATCTCTGCTTGTGTGTCTGTCTGTGTGTCTATGTATGAGTCTCTCTGTGTGTATGTCTCTCTGTGTGAGTCTCTCTCTGCTTGTGTGTCTGTCTGTGTGTCTATGTGTGTGTCTCTCTCTGTTTGTCTCTGTGTGAGTCTCTCTCTGCTTGTGTGTCTGTCTGTGTGTCTATGTGTGTGTGTCTCTCTCTCTGTTTGTCTCTGTGTGAGTCTCTCTCTGCTTGTGTGTCTGTCTGTGTGTCTATGTGTGTGTTTCTCTCTGTCGCTGTGTGTGTCTCTCTCTGCTTGAGTGTCTGTCTGTGTTTCTATGTGTGTGTCTCTCTCTGTTTGTGTCTCTGTATGAGTCTCTCTCTGCTTGTGTGTCTGTCTGTGTGTCTATGTATGTGTCTCTCTCTCTGTTTGTCTCTGTGTGAGTCTCTCTCTGCTTGTGTGTCTGTCTGTGTGTCTATGTTGTGTGTCTCTCTCTGTTTGTCTCTGTGTGTCTCTCTCTGCTTGTGTGTCTGTTTGTGCGTCTATGTGTGAGTCTCTCTCTGTGTGTCTCTCTCTGTGTGAGTCTCTCTCTGCTTGTGTCTCTGTCTGTGTGTCTATGTGTGTGTCTCTCTCTGTTTGTCTCTGTGTGTCTCTCTCTGCTTGTGTGCCTGTCTGTGTGTCTATGTGTGTGTGTCTCTCTCTGTTTGTCTCTGTGTGAGTCTCTCTCTGCTTGTGTGTCTGTCTGCGTGTCTATGTGTGTGTTTCTCTCTGTCTCTGTGTGAGTCTCTCTCTGCTTGTGTGTCTGTCTATGTGTATCTCTCTCTGTCTCTGTGTGAGTTTCTCTCTGCTTGTGTGTCTGTGTCTCCGTGTCTATGTTTTGTCTCTCTCTCAAATTGAGCAATCTTTGGAAGAACGTAATCAACCAGGTGGGTGTTGACTGTTTTGTTGGCCGACTCTCTGTGTTGTATTGCATTATATTTCTAAGTTTACTAGGCTTGTTTCCTCATTCATTTATACCCGATGATGGTTGCTTGTGTTGCAATCGAAACGTCGTATTCTATTGTTATTTAATTTATTTCTACGTGACTTTACCGGAAGACCCAAAGAATATGAATTCCTGCAGTTACAAAAGCTTTAAGTGAAGACTTAACAGACTGTCATATTTATCAACACAAAACGGGTTACCTGTACATGGAAATTGAGTGTACAGCCGTTTCAACACGGGCAAAACATTTGTTTTTGTCAATTTGTTTTGTGTTTCTCTCCCTTGTGATGGGACTTTGTAGGATGCACGTTGAGATTTTTAAGGACCACGGGGTGACCAATAAGGTCTGAACTGGTCTGTAATAAGGTAAGCAGGCAACTGATAAGGGCTTAAAGACTGCGGTGCGTTTTTTTGTGTTGTTGTTTACCTATCTCACAACATCTCACACAACAAACTGCACTTGCCACTAAAAGTACGTGGAGGCTTTAACACAGGGGCGGGTTGTGTTGCTGTGTGGTGGTGGTGGGTGGGTGGTGGTGTTTGGGGCGATTGTCTGATGGGTGGCTGGGTGGGTGGGGACCTTTTGTCTGCGCTATGCGAATTGCATTGCCCCAAAGGAGGGCGGGCGGGCGGGGTTGTTGGTGCGGCACCACCCAACTCACCACCACCGCCACCCCCCACAACCAAACACCACCACCACCCACCACCATCACAGTCCCCGCCTACAGGCGGCCACTGGGAATGTAGCAGCGAGCTCAACTAAATACATCGAGAGCAGGGCGCCTTGATGGAGGAGTCGGATTCAATCAAGGTAGCGCAAAAAAAATTTCCGGGGTGTTTCTGTTCTTTATATTTTTTTTTGTTAGAGCCGGCGTGTTGGTGGTCGTGTTTGTGATTTGTTTGTCGCTGTTGTGTGGTTTCGGACTGCAAATGTTACAAATATTAAGAGTCCCGTCGCGTTTCGTTAGCGATCTTAATCCACCAACAACACTACCACCACCGTCTCCCACCACACCACAGCCTTACATTAATGCCTACGTGTAACACAAAAAGTGATCTACGGACGAGTTGTCGGCTTCTTGTTTACATTCACTTAGGGTGGAAGGGTTGATGCTGCTGCTGCTGGTGGTTGTTGTTGTTGTTGGTTGTTGCTGCTGCTACAATAACAGCAGCAGCAGCGTGGTTGTGTGTGGCTATGCTCACACTACACAACACGCTACACACGGCTCTTGGTTTGCGTATTGAAAGTTATCGTATCGCGTGCTCGCCGCTTATGTAACGCGGCCGTGATTGTCCGTTCCCTTTGAGTTGTGAAGTATTTAAACTTAAAGTCGGTTGTGGTTGGTGGGTGGTGGTGGTTGAACCCGCGTGTTGGTCGTGGTCTTGGTGGTGGTAGTGGTGAAAACCAGCGTGGTGGTAGTTGCCGCGTTGTTGATCGTGGTGGTGATGGTGAAACCCGCGTGGTGATGGTGATCGTGGTGGTGATGTGATTGATGGAGGAGGAGGTGGTGGTGAAACCCGCGTGGTGATGGTGATCGTGGTGGTTGTTGTGGAACCCGCGTGGTTTGGTGGTGGTGATCGTGGTGGTGATCGTGGTGATGGTGAAACCCGCGTGGTGATGGTGATCTTGGTGATCGTAGTGGTGGTGGTTGTGGAACCCGCGTGGCTGTGTGGTTGTGCTTCAATATCTCGTAGTATTTGTGTTACACGTCCCGTCCCCCCACCACTGTGTTTAGGGGCTCTCTTTGTTCTTAAACGCGACGTCGGTACAATTCACCCAAACTTAATTCCAACTTTCCCATCATGTTTCCACGCCGCCCGTCGCCTTGCTTGCAGCACTTTGTAACGAACCTGCAATTATAATATAATGTTATTATATTGTTTCCCTTCTACGTGGTGGTGACTTTACCGAAAGAACCAAGAATATGAATCCCAGCAGTCACGAAAGCTTTAAATCAAGACCCTTGCAATATTGTTTATTAATCTACGGTTGCGACGACTCTCGCGTTTGTGTTTGTGTTGTTGTTTTAAAGTGTTACAACTTGTGGTTTGTTACTATCCTGTTTGTAGCGAGTACAGCGGTGGTGGTGTTGGTGGTGGTCTTTAAACGTCGAGATTAAACGCGCACAAAAAGTTACGAGAGTAGTGTGTGCGTGTTGTTGTTCGGTCTCTGTATAGGAATGTGTCTGAGCACAAGTTGTACAAGTTTAATTTATATTGTCTCACTGTGCCGGCAATGGTCGAGCAGTGATTTAGCTGAGAGTGTGTGTGTTTGTTGTTGTTGTACTTGGTGGTTGTTGTGGTTGTTTGCCTGCTAGTAGTAACACGTTCCTCCTAGATTCATTGTATTGCATATTCAAGAACCCATGTGGCCATTATGAGTGTTGGTGGGTGTCTCCAGCCCATCGGAATTTCTCTCCAAACTTCTCACGATGATGTGTTGATCAACAACAACTAACCTTGTTATTGTTGTTGTACTTGGTGCCAAGGGTGGTGGTGGTTGTTGTTGTGGTTGTTTGCCTGCTAGTAGTAACACGTTCCTCCTAGATTCATTGTATTGCATATTCAAGAACCCATGTGGCCATTATGAGTGTTGGTGGGTGTCTCCAGCCCATCGGAATTTCTCTCCAAACTTCTCACGATGATGTGTTGATCAACAACAACTAACTTGTTATTGTTGTTATTGTTGTTGTGTTCTGTGGCGACGAGGATGATGTTGGGCCTCCATCCAACGGTAGATAGAACACGGCTGATGTTGACTTTGTTGAATTGTAACTTGGCAGAAGCCCTCTGTAAGTGAATGTTTTACACTTGTGGTTGAGGTTACAGCACGCTGCACAGTGCAGAAGGTTGTATTGAATGCCATGTGGGAACTATTTACAGTGTATGATGATGTACAGTGCAGTGTTACAATACAACATACTCGTGGAAACTATCATCCAGCGGTGGATTTTGCAGGGTCTAAATCATTTCAGAAAACGGTGCTTTATAATGCAAGTTGTTTATTTAAAAAAAAATGTGTACACACGTTCACTGAGCACACTAACATTGTAGTTTATGTATAGATACCACGACTATTTCCGCTATAAAACTTAAAGTATAGACTAATACCCACCAAATAAAGTGGCGTGTGATAAATGCAATAAAGCAGTGCATGCAGTAACTTAACAGAACATTGTGCGGCACACGATGAGATTTTGTACAGTCAACGCGTTGTGCCCAGTTGTTTACTGTACAACATATGTGACTAATCAAAGTGTTAGGCTTGCAAGTGTATGGACATCAGCACATTGCTAACTTTTTTTACAACACTCAATGTATATGCAGGATATGTTAAATACATTAAAGTATATATATGCATACTGATACTGTTGTATAGGGAACATTTCCATACAGTAATACTCTTGAACATAACTAAAGACCACGTGCAGCGTTAAACACGTTAATGATTACAACACCGCATTGTGTAACATAATCTCACGGTTAAGCAGTACATTGCATGCTCTCTATACGCAACATGCATGTTCACGTATGTTACATTATATTGCAATTGAACCCTAGCGCATACTATACACGTGCTTACAGTAACTATCCCACGGTGTGAGAGGTTCACCATTCACACAATCTACATACAACTAGGCCTCTACATATTGTGATGCTTTTGTCGTGTACAGTTTGGGGGGTAAATGAAACACGCACACACCATTGTAAAGCCACGTGTGCAGTATGCACGCTGTTGTGTGTAACGTGTGCGTGTGCAATGTGTCGCGTGTTTAAAATAAAATAAAAAGTTGCATTGGCGCCCGGAGAAGACGGCCACTCTGATATCGACTGAACGGTCTCACGGCATCAATAGGGGGGGGGGGGGCTATTGTTGTATCAACTAGGGGGGGGCTATTGTATCAACTGGGGGGGGGCTATTGTATCAACTGGGGGGGGGGGGGCTATTGTATCAACTGGGGGGGGCTATTGTATCAACTAGGGGGGGCTATTGTATCAACTAGGGGGGGGGGCTATTGTATCAACTGGGGGGGGAGGCCCCCCACTGTGTTTTAAATTTCCTCGACTCGAGTTTTAAGTTCGCACTGAGCGTGTTTGCTAAATCTCTACGCTGGCCATTTGGTGGCTTACCATTGGTGTTCGCAGGCCAAACTCTTTAACGTTATTTGTTACGTCGAAGTGATCGTCTCTCTTTACCCTCTGTGCATTAAACAACTGCTCGCTTTTTTAAAGAAGTAGTTTTACTTTGGGGGGGGGGGGGGTTTGGCCCCCCTCTCCTCTCTTTTACAACTAGTTCACGTCGTCTTTTCGGCTGTGAACTGTTTGGTGGGAGTCCAACTTTAATGAGGCAACGCTGAGATGATAATTTAACAAAAGTTTCAGTGTTGACGTGTAAAACGCCCAGCCCCACGCGAATACACTAATAACTAACTACACTTGGATAAAATGCATATGTCGCATTATATAAGCGTGCTTTTAGCTCGTGATAGAGCACGTTTATGTAATATTTATGTACGAACACGATACGGCGAGTTAAGTTATTTATATTGGGAATGCATGAAGAGTGACGAGTCATGAAAACTGCATTTGTTGATTTAATTAATATTTTGATATTTTTGTGTGGCTGGCATTTTGTTTCTGTTGATTCCCACTGGAGACCAGCAGTGCTAAGTGGGTGGACTTGTGGGGTTTTATTAGTGGAGCCCCCCACAAGTACTGACTGCCATGTGGTTTAAAAAAAAAAACTCTTTAAACACACGTGTGTGGTGTACAGCACGTTTAAATATCACGACAAATATTAATGGTCATTCGATAAATGATGAAGTTTATTTGGACATCTCGACCTGGGTTTCCCGGCATTAATTCATGGACAGTGCTGTGTTAAATTGCTTGCACATTCGTGACCCATTGAGATCCCCCCCCCCCCCTGCCAATATTGTAGCGACGTTCCCCGTACATCATGATGCGTGACACGGCGCACAGGAAACGAGTCGCCAAGTTTTATTTGTGAATGCATTCGCGCAAAAAATTTTTTAGAGTAAAAGGTGTGCCTTTCCTTTCGATTTAAAGCTTTCGTGACTGCAAGGATTCATCTTCTTTGGTTCTTTCGGTAAAGTCACCACCACGTAGAATGAGAATAAAATAATAAATTGATAAAATAAAATAACAATAAAATTCTCACGACGTTTCGGCCACAACACAAGCGGCCTTCATCGTCGTGAGAATATTATTGTGTTATTTTATTTTATCAATTTATTATTTTATTGTCATTCTACGTGGCTTTACCGAAAGAAGCAAAGAAGATGTGCCTTTCCTGTTGTGTTTTTCTCTCAGTCTCTCTCTCTCCATGCGCGTTGTAACAGGTTGACATTTCTGCTCCATGAAATCTTTCAGTTCCTAACATAAAGTGTTAAAAGTTAATTTTTCTGTACTAAAATGTTTTTTCTTCATCCAGTGGTCCCATATACATAACCTGGACATGTTTCTGCAACATCCCTGCTTGTTTGTTGTTGTTGTCCCTTTTAAATAATGGGTTGCCCTTGAAAAATAGCAACTTGGTATTTACTTGGTGAAGCCGCAAACAAATTGTCAGTCGAGCCTGGCTCTCAAAGAACAATCATGATTAGTGCATTCGGTGTTCTTGTAATTTCCATAGTGCAAAGCTGTCACAAAGGTGCTATGTTCCATAGACGTGTATAATCTGCCAATTAGGTAATTAGTGGGTCATTTTTCAAATTTGACAAATTTGGACCTTCATGCTGCAATATCACTGACTTAATGTTTTCGATTTAAGTCACGGGATCTTTAACGTCTCCTGTTGTGAAACAAACGGAGCACATGTTTTTTTTCAGACCACCCAATCAAACGCACGCACATACACCTTATACACAACTGCCGTTGCAGGACTTGGCGATGAGATACGTTCGTCAGTCATCCGCGTGTGAATCGTTGCGCACGCCTCTGCCAACCGTTGCACCAGGTTTTACCCGCGACCTTCTTTTTCCGTTTGCGTGCAGTGGGGGGGCGCCCCGAGCACGCCGCGCGACGGCCGCGTCTATTACCAGGCGGTGCGCGTCAACTCCACGCCCGAGCGTTCGCTGAGCGTGGGCCACTTCTACGCGGTGCGCTGGGACGCCACGGGCCCCGTCTGCCTGGCCCAGCTGCTGCTGCTGTGGAGGCCAGCGGAGGCCCATGGTAGAGGCCCCGCAGGAGAGGCTGGCGAGGCCGTCGCCAGTGCCCGCCTCTACTTCCTGCCTGAGGACACGCCGCAGGGCCGCAACAGCCAGCACGGACAGGTGGGTTACCCGCGATGCCGGGGCCCGGCCGATCATGCTCAGGAGTGAAATAAGTTCAGGCCATCGGTGGACGAAGGGCTTCCCCACGTACCCTCAACGAAACCTAAACTTTTTATTTATTTTACCAGGTAAGGCCCACTGAGCTATGTAGCTCTTTTTCAGACGCGACCTGGCTATCACAAATGATAGCTCAACGAAGTGGCTTATCATGTGGAAATGTAGAGCAGCCAAGTACTCTAAAAGCATGGTGATTCTAAATGTGGAGGGAGAAAGCAGAGAATCAACGCGACCACGGGGAGAACATGCAAACTCCAAATATATACGACCTCCTGCATACCAGGCGAGGCAGTTAACATCCCACCACCACGGCACCCATCGGGTCAGGAGGGTTGTTTGACCGTACTTCACCACGCTGGTGAGTGCGGGTTGGTGAAGGAATGGTGGTGTTTGCCAGGACCGATTCCGATATCACTTGCCACAGTGGAAGGTTATCGAACTCCCGGTGAATAGCATTTATAGTGCAAGCTATTGTGCAACTGCTCATGCTTGCATTTCCCTAATAACAGGCTGTTTAAGCTATTTTAGCTGTCTCACAAAGTTGTCTTGACGGGGAAAAAAAAACTTCTTCTTCAACATCAGGACAGGTGGCAGTGAGAGTGTCGCAGAGAACTCGACTCACAATCAGAAAATCCGAAGTTAAAATCCCAGTTAAGGGTCAACCATCTGGAGTTAATAAAACGAGTACCACTGAGTGGCAAGCCAACACTGCTTTTTTGTGGAGAGACTGACCCCTGCTTACAGTAATGTGGAGTATCCACCAATGACTTGGCTCCATCAGTTCGAGAAATTCACTATCCAAATTAAAGCTTGGAGATACCGCTACAAAGATTAAAGTGAAATATTGGAGGAAATTGGAAGAATGGTTTCAGGGATAATGCACATGTCAGCACTGCCCAAGAATTGCTGACATTGTGAGTTCAAATCCGGACAAGTGCCCGTAATTAAATTAGGTTCTCAAGTGAAGCGAGTTGACAGTCTGTGCCCAGTCAATGATGAATGTGCATTAACAACACATCTGATGCACCAGTGGTAGCTCTGCCATGTCTCCTCTTGGGACCGTTCCCTTACATAATGTTATTTTCTGATGAGCAAAGGAATTGGAGAATAATTTTTATTTGGCGCATGACGTAACTCCTGTGGCGTATTATGGACAGTCGGTAATTGCTGTTGCCCATCCCACAAACTGCTTGGTTTTGCACTGCATTGTCAGGGAACGAGTGGATATGGGAGAGTGTAGTGAATGAGTTGACACTGAATGCACCCTGTGGGGCAGTGCGACCAAGACGACGGGCCAAGGTAAGAAAAAAGGTTGACTTTGTTGATTGTAAAGTTTTATGTTTGATGGAAACACTGAATGTCGCTTAGAATAGGATAAATATTGTGCAATGGTCATTATACCAACAATTTGCAGAATATGTATTGTATTATGATTCAGTTTCCCCCCCCCCCCCTGTATTTTAAGACGGAAGTGGTGGGTGCTTCTTATAATCTAGTAGGATGTTGTGTGTGCTTGTATAACTATTGTGACGAGTCTAACTTTCGGAGGGAACGTCTTATAATCCAAAGAATATGCTATATTCCACTAAAGCCAATCATACTTTGAGTACATTAACAAATACAAAAAATCACCGCATAGCCTTAACAGACTTTTGTGCCTGTTGCCTATAGTGAGCACCTATGAAGGATGGCACGGTACACGAGGGGGTGCTGTATCCAACACCATGCCCAGCTGCCTTTGTCTCCCTAGTGAAGTTGTTTACTCACCACACCAGGTACTCATTTTAGGCTGAATCGACCTAGGTGAGGCCCGGGACCACATCAGATAATAATCAGTGGTGTTGGGCGTGGGCGGAATTGAACTCGGGTTGCCAGGTTCGTAGCGCAGCACACTAGCCGCTACACTCCTGCTCCCCCTGATGTATGAGTACTAACAGGGCACGCTCGTACATATGGTACAGAGTTAACATGCTTTGTTTAATAAAGGAGTCCGTGTATGCACCCTGTAGCAGTAAGGAACAGTCGCACTATACCGTGTTTATCTATAACAATAGTGAAACGTCAGTACATGGCTGAGTAACTTTGCTCCTGCAAGTATATGGTCATGAATTCCAATTGTAAAGAAGTTATTACACCTTAAAAGCTGAGTAGTTTTGCAATCATTGTTCCTTATGGGCAATTTGTCTTTGGTAAATTTGACTAAATTCACAACCTGCCTTCCACATTCCTATAGCTGATGTTATATTTTAATCACATGCCAGACTATATAAAAGATGACTTTACATAGACTAAGACTGCGACTAGACTAAGAGTGGAAACAATTTAATTGCAATGCAAACAAGTAATGGACTATTCCTATGAATACATGGTGGCTCAGCCAACCTGAGTTAAATTCCCAGCCACGGCTAACATCAGTGGTGAGTGGCATCTGAACTTGGTTTTAGACACCTCGCTTCGGCACGAAGAAGTATGGTCAAATGATCACCCGTGAGCAATATGAACTAAACTAAACGTTTTATTTTACCCGGTAAGGCCCACTGAGCTGTATAGCTCTTCTTGGGAAGCGACCTGGACAAAATTTACAGCAGCCGAATAATCTAAACGCAAGTTTTTAAATGGGGAGGGAAAAACCAGAGAACATGCAAACTCCAAATATACAGGCATCAAGGCCGGGATCGAACCAACGACCTCCTCCATACCAGTCGAGGTATTTAACATCTCACCACCGCGGCGCCCCAGTGTTGCGTGGTGGGGAGGCCTTCATCCTGCAGTGGATTGATTGGCAAAGAGCTGAAATAATTGTTCCAGTTCGTTGTCTAATAGACCAGCGGTAGAGCTCAAATTCTGAATGTAACATTTTGACGAAAAAATATTTTACAGATTTTAATTTGCCATGTATGTAAAGTCCCCACGCACCTTGCGTACAGCCATTGTGGGCAGCCGGTTAAGCAGGAGCCAGTGGCATGGTGTGCCACTGGGACCCCCCCCCCCCCCCCCCCCCCCCGATGGTTGGGACGCTTGCCCGTGTTTGCTGTTGTGGATGAAACAGACTTGCGGATGAGTGTGCTTGTTTGCAACCACAGACACATATTCTGATGTGTTGGGCCTAATAAGGGTGCTGCAGCTGTGCCCTGGCAAAATAAAACAGTTATTGAAGCCCCTATAGAAGGGAATTGCCCTTCAATGGGAGCTATAATTAAATATGACCCACCATGTGATATATATTTTTCTGTGCATGTGAATATTTTTTAACTACATATTGCATGCTTTTAAAATACAATTGTATTTACATTGCGTGAAAACAAAGATGTATCCAGGCACTACATATTGACAGCATGGGGTGAACACCTTTCGACTAATTGAGGAATTAAGCAGATACTTTAACCTCTATTATGGAGATACTTTATTATTAGAAATGTAATCAATTATTTGGCCAAATATCTCAACGCAAGACCCTCCTTGACTACACAAGACATTTATATAATCATGTAATGTATTACACATTAGTTAATAAGTGACATTAAATAAGCGAACAGCCAGTGTAAAGGAATGTAAATATGAATGTAAAAGGGATGACTTAATAATGCGTAATAGACGATTGCCAGATCCTCTACTTTAAATTTGGGTACGCAGTTGGAATTTCGTGGAGCAAGGGTAAGTGTCTTCCCGACGGTAACAACAGCAGAGGATAATAAATTACCACCATAGTAAGTTTGAGAGTGATGCGATGTACTTTGATCGGGGATGTCGGTTCGGAGCAACTCAAGTTGCAAGATCTGGAAGATGGTGATAAGCAATTGCATGGTTGGCTGATGTCAAAGCAGTGCTTATATTGAGGATCGGTGTAATATTCTGTTTTGATTTATTGTGTGGATTTAAGTTTTAGCAATCTGAAGTTTGGATCAAATAATAAGTCAAGAGTCAGAAAGCAAAACTGGGTTCTTATCAGTGCAGGGCGATGTCCATCTCCTGTTTACAGCCTTGACTTAGTGGTGAAAATTCCGTTTTCCTCCGACACGGGTAAATGACTCCTTGGGGTAGCTACAGTTGGGATTTCCACAGAATGTAGGGTTCGCATCTTAAACAAGATGCGAATGAAGACATGAATGAGCAGTTTGTGGGGTCATGGTTCAATTGGGAAGAGAAGCATTCATAATGTACAAGTATGGAACTCGGCGTGGAGATAGCTAGCCTTCGCCATGATGTGACAAACCGCTGCAGATGGCGACTACATTACCAAATCAGTCATGTGAAATTAACCACATTTATATTTATAATTGGTTCAGGAATATTTGTCATTCCTGCCAATTTTAAGACATACTGCAGTCCCCGTTATTTTTTTTACGAGAATGAAAAATTGTGAGTGTTCTTCAGGAATGACATATTTTATCACAAAAGATCACGCAAGCACAGAACGTTCATTAATGGAAGATGGTGCTTGGCTGGCTTGCAGAGTTAGTGAAGCGTTGAATGGAAATAATAAGTAAAGCATTGTGCGTCATGTGCAATTCCTGTGACTAAAACCCCACGCCAAAAAGGTATCTGCATAATAAAAACAAATCCTGAAATTGGGTACCTGTTAAGAAAAAAAAACCATGCAGTTTAACCTCAAAACAAGGTGGATGGATATACAGTTCTTGCATATAATGGAGTTGTTTGGAAAAGCCCTGAAATGTGGAAGAAACTGAAAATTGTGCTCCAGAAACTCAAAATATGAAGAGCTTGCAAAGACATGTCGACTTGTTAGCTGCGACCCCACGCAGCACACACAAGCGCTACGTGCCAACCAGCCCGCCACAGTTTAGGACTGCACAGAATCTCCTGCAGCGTTGGGATTTTGCCGCCCATCAGTGGCATTTTCTATTTGCTCCTTTTGGGTGGTGATTTTCATACCATGTATATCGCACCTCTGATTAGCACGGGCCGGGCTACGTACGGCGCGG